GCATGCTGTGTCCACATAATCTTAATCATGTCGAGGAAAAGCCCTTATTTTAGCAGCACAACCATATCACAAGAGAAGAGAAAGTTCTTTTACTATTACTGTAACATTCAGCAGGGAAGGAACAGTGGTTAAATACTCAAGGAAAAAGTTATTGTTGCAAAGAGGTTCCAGATACAAACCAATGTTTTCAAGTGCTGAAATATTACTTCTTCTAACAATAATAGCAATTGAGTTTACAATGACGTCCAAGTATTTTCACTATATGTAAATTGGTAGGTCTTATACTGCACACATACTCTACTGGTGTACACACATACTCTACTGGTGTACCTGATTGTTTAATAATAATAATAATAATAATAATAATAATAATAATAATAATAATAATAATAATAATATTTCAAGAAACCTCTTGAGATTTGTTATGACCACAAGACGCAGGAACTCGTTTTTACATCTCATCTGAAGGACGGCGCATTTTTTTTTTACAGTGCAGTCTACCCGTCACTACACTGAAATAGTGAAACAGACCTCAGGGCGAGCGCCCCCTACTGGCCCCTTTTAACGCCTCTTCCAGCAGCAACCTCAGCTCTCCCAGGAGGTCTCCCATCCAGGTATTGGCCAGGCTACCACCTGCCGAGCTCTAGTGGGTTGCCAGTTGTGAGCCGCAGGGTGATAAAACTGCTGGCTATAAAATGCAAGATTAAACGCAAGAAATGCAAGGTCTTACTGCTTCTCCAGTCGCAGTGGTCACTAATCTCTGCAAGATACTTGGGGTAATTATTCTTCCCCTTAGGCCATCTTGAGTTATCGTCAGCCTAATTTTCTACAAGGAAGAAATCTTGAAAATACATATAACAAAACACCATAATCTCTGAAACATCCTGGAACAACACTGACACTGAACGAGTTTAATGGGGCAGATCTGATTGGTCTTGCAACAGATTACCTTAAAAGCTGAAGTAGAGGGAATTACAACAAAGAAACAATAAAACAAGGTATGTGTTAGTTTACACACACAGGTATATCAAAAAGGGGGGAGGGGTTGTTGGATGCTTAGAAAAAGATTAAGCAATAAAATGTCTGTTTACCCTTCTAAGTCAATGGCAAACACATCATTACTGATAATGGATAACAGGATACTGGCATAATGCTTTCTTAAATGTAAATGTGAACAGTATACCAGCAGCTTTGCATCACACAAATAGAACCACAATGCAAAACGGGGTCTGAAAAAGTCTTACAATTTTTGATTTTGCAGTCACTGTAGCTTCATATGTTATAAAGGGTCAATCTGGAGCTGCTAAATGTTACTGACTCGACTTGTGCTTCTCCATACTGCATAAGAAGACAGCTCATTGGTCCTTTGACACTATAAGCTCCTTAGCTTGTGACAGGAAGCTGGCACCAGCTGGTGAAACTGTATGCTACTACAAGAAAAATCATGACATGGCCCAGTGATTATGTCACCATCAGGCGCAACTTTGAAAACACTTTTAAAATGACCAAGCAGATTTAACAAATGCTTCATTGCTTCATCCAAAAATTGAAAGGTGAAAGGAGAGTTACTCTCCTTCATTTTGGCCAACCTCTTGATAATTCATCTTTGACAGACTTCAACAGCAGAAGAATGGAATTCCCCAGTGATGTGAACAACACAAAGGACTGGAAATCAATATTCAGGAAAGTGTTGCTATAATTTCACTGTCTTTTTTATTCCCAGAAGCATTCAATGATTATTACCAGAATTCTAACATCTGCTGCACTGACCAACTAACCCAAGTTTCTTAAATTTCTATTACATTAGCATCTACTGTTAGAAAAAAAATACCTTGCAGTCAGTCAAGTTTACAGTTTCATATGCTGGACACAGTGTTGTTGATAAAGTCCATCAGAAGGACATTCAGGTTATCAGATGAAGAGTTTCTATAGCCTGTTTAACTAAAGCATCGCCATTCCCTGAACTAGTCTGTTCCTTGATACAGCACTATATTCACGATTGATTTTAGCTTTGGTTTTTACCAAGTGTAGAAATGCATGCAATAGCAAGAACTAAAATAAGAGCCAACTGACTGTCTCTGGTTTCCTGGGATGTAGGGTAACAACATCGTCTGAGGAGCTTACAGCACAAGGCAAAGCCAGCCCAGGTTTAGAATATGCTGGATTAAACTGGTATGGAAAAGGGATATGTTTATTTAGCTTTTTGGAAAAATAGTTCACAAGATGCTTTCTCAGGTCAGTGGAAGATGCAAACAAGAGCAACAGCAAGGAGCAATGAGCACCAACAGAAAAACAACCGAGAAAAAAAATGATTTACATGTATGAATAAACACTGAAAGTGGAAACTTTGGCAGCATCTAGCACCTACTAATCTTCTGCAGATGTGGTGAACTGTGGCTATGCATGAGAGAGATGCGTTTCAGACAATCGAAGTGAATTAGGGGTCTAAATCCTTTTGTTTGAGACAAAAAAATAAAAAAGATAAATAATCCTTGGAGCATTGAGGAAGACACCCCTTTGTCCATCAAAATCTTTATGATCTCATTTAGAAAGATTTCTCTTCTAATTTTTTCCCAGCTTGTCAAAAACAAAAAATGGCTGTCAGATTTCAATTCTAAACTCTGCCTTCTCTCAGTGCCTCCCAAATTTATTTGCTCTGAACAGCCTCCCACTTAAGATGTAACCTCTAAACAGCTTAAGCTCTACTGCTGAAGCCCTCCCTGCCAGGAGCCGCAGCTTAAATCTTATTTCAAAAGCCACATTTCAACGAGGAAGTGACAGAGGGTGTCTGTTTGATAAAATATTTAATTAAATGCAGTCTGCGCTATCTATAACTCATGTCACTAAGGGATAAGGAACACCACCCATGTGCATGAATCTGTCCCTTCACCTTGGGAAAAAAGGTACAGATCCAATTAAGAGCCTCTCAAAAGACAGTCTTTTATACAGCATTTACTTCTCAAGCAATACAATCTTACTGTCAGCCAACACGTAATACTGTCAGCTCTAAGACTCTCCATGCCTCTAAATTCCAGCTTTTATAAATCAAGAATCACCAATTATTTTGGTTAGATCTTTTTTATTTGGAAAAGCAAGTTGTTTTTTTTTTTTGCAGCTACGATACCTACAACCCTCCTTCGGTCCATCAGTCATTTCACGTGTCAATATGCGCGTTTTAAGTGGCAGTTCTGCACCATTCTGAGGACAGGAGCCACCCTCCCCAACAGCGCCATCGGCCTGAAAGTGCCAGAAGACTCTGAGGCTCGCTGTCTCACTACGCCCACCCTACCCTTGGCGGGAGTCCAAGTCAGCTAGTGACCTGGGCAGGAATCCTTGGTCCCAGAGCTCACACTGTGTTTGGGAGAACTTGGGAGGCTCCTAGACTCTACCTCCTAAGGCTACAGTTTGCCTTTTGGAGGCTGAAGAAAACTGTTCCTACGAGTATCTAAATGCACAGACACTAGCCGCAGCCTCAAGGAGAAGGTTTCTATTTTTGTGCATAACGCACAAGAGCGAGTCTGAAGAGTGCAGGTGGTCCCTGTTGTCTTCGCTAGTGGCAAAAACAAACAACAGTCCGACAGATCTTCCCGGAAGCTGCTCACCACCGTATGGTGAAGTGTAGTGCCTGCATCAGCCCTGTACCCGAAGGCCGTGGCCAAGAACAAAAAAATCAGACACACAAACTAAACTGCCTGCAACGGCAGCACCTTCTTTCTGAAAGCGGCTGAGAGTTCATCTCTTGGGTGAATAAATAACAGACACTGTGTTTGAGGGTTTCCTAACCTAATAAGTCAAACTTTTTTTAAAAAAATAACGAGGAATCCAGAAGCCCAGTAGGGCAGCAAGCGAGCAGGTTTTGCTCACGACTGCAGAGGCTGGCCTTTGGGGAGGCCTTTGAGATTGCGTGTTAGAAAGTCGTCCGCGTGATGCAGCTGGCTTACCTGGTATCCCTCGGTCTTCTTCTGGCACCACTTGAGCAGCGCGTTCCTCTTGGATCCGCCGTACTCCCGAGCCAGTGCTGACAGGGGGTCCTTCCTCTCCTCCCTGTGAGGACACAGGAGCTTCAGTAAGAGCTGGGGCAGTGCAGCACGCTTGGCCATGCCAGGACGGTCACTCAACCTGCTGCGCAGACTGGGCTGGCCTTCCGAAGCTCACCTCCTGCCACTCACATTCCTGTGGCGCTGAAACCCGCGGTGCTGAACAATTCGCTCTGGGTAATTTCCCGGTGTTACCCACAGTAGCTTTACCCACAGTAGCTTTACGGCCAGCAGCCATATCACCCTGCAACTCACAACTGGCAGCCCACTGAAGCTCAGCAGGTGTGAGCCTGGTCAGTACCTGGATGGGAGACCTCCTGGGGAAAACTAAGGCTGCTGCTGGAAGAGGCGTTAGTGGGGCCAGCAGGGGGCGCTCACCCTGCGGCTCATGTGGGTCCTAATGCCCCAGTATAGTGACGGGGACACTATACTGTAAACAGGCGCCGTCCTTCGGATGAGACGTAAAACCGAGGTCCTGACTCTCTGTGGTCATTAAAAATCCCAGGGTGTTTCTCGAAAAGAGTAGGGGTGTAACCCCGGCATCCTGGCCAAATTTCCCCATCGGCTGTTATCAATCATGGCCTCCTAACAATCCCCCTCTGTGAATTGGCTTCATTACTCTGCTCTCCTCCCCACTGATAGCACTATGGCTGCCGTCGCATCATCCAGGTGGGGCTGCACATTGGTGGTGGTGGGGGGGAGTCCCCATTACCTGTAAAGCGCTTTGAGTGGAGTGTCCAGAAAAAGCGCTATATAAGTGTAAGCAATTATTATTATTATTATTACCCTACTCATCACGCTTTTCAACATCATGAGCAGACTCCCTGGCTCTGCAAATTCACTCTCAATTCCTGAAGAGTACGCCAGCCAGTTTGAGCCTCCTGTTCCAACATTCCCCGCTTCGTTTTTTCTGCGTTTTGTCAGCTCCTCTTGATAACTCGAAAAAGAGTGATCCGTACCAATTTACAACTGACAAGAGCAGAAAGGTGTAAGAGCATCACAGTTGCAGACACTACAGAAAATGACTAAGGATTTGTGCCTGGCATCAGTAGGGCCACAAAATCTCTTTAAATTCATGCCGAAAGCAAGTTAAGAAGTATGTGATTGCTCACCGTGCAGGTAGAGCCCTAAAGAAAAGAGGTGTTTAGTTAGCTAGAATTCAAGACTCCTAACTGGAAGGACCTGGAACTGTCGTAGGCTCTAATCCCAGGTGAGACACCACCGTTATGCTCGTGAACTTTATCTTTCAGTAAAATGCCCAGCTGCATTAACGGGTGCAGATGAACAAAAGCTTAATGCCAAAAAAAACTAGCAACTCCCCGCTGTGAACAGTTCTGTGGAAACCGTGTTTGTAATTCATTATAATGTTCAAAATGTTCAAAACTCCAATTTTAATTCAGAAGCTAATTGAGGGAATTCTTTACACAAAGGGTTGTGGGGGTGTGGAACAAGCAACTTAGCTATGTTGTTGGAACTGATCTCCAGGCTTTTTTGTAAAGCAACAGCTGGATGAGATCCTCAAATCAAATACAGTAGCAACTAGCTATGAAACGGGCAAAGCTGATTCAATTCACCTCCTTTTATTTTAACTTATTTAAATAATAAAACATTAAACATTAAACATTAAACATTAAAGCCAATCTAGATTTAAACTTAATGGCCTGTTATTTTAGATCATGTTAATGCCTCCTGACTAAAATGAACACATTTTCACATTTGTTTCTCAATAGAACTGTGGTGGAGTATTTGTTAGGCTAGGGGTTTTGCCTTTCTTCATCTGAGTTTGAACAGCATACCCAAAAGATGTGACAAAGCCACTTTAACAATTTAATTACAAAAGAAGCCCTCTGACACAAAAGTGGGACAAATGGCCCAGTGTCTCGCCCAGCAGACCCCCTCGATTTTCTCTCCTCCTCCTGCCATGTCTCAGTAATGGGAGAGGAAGGCTTGCCTCTGTAATTGCAGGAGTTGTTTCTGCAGGCAATGGGGCCTGAATTAGATTGAGCCGGTTTGTGGCTCTCTTCCCCTGCAGAGGTAAAAGTTCTTTTCATTTGCACTCCGCGGTTCAGACGGGCTGTCAGGCACGCGCGACACAGGGGTGGGGGGGTGGTGAGGGCGACACGTGCGTCTCTGCACACGTACACACAGGCCAGCGCCAACGCACACACGGGGCACTGACAGCGCCTGTCTTCCACAACACCATCTACTCGACACCCTCTTGCACCAGGATCTCCAGATACGGCCAGAGCACAAAAACCACAGCCTGCTCGGCAGAGAGTAACTAATGAAGCAAATATTAGCTCTTGGTTCTAAGGGAAGAGAGATTTGTTTTTTTTCTCTTCCTGTTTATCTCAATGTGATAGTGCACCTCCAGAGTAATTTATACAGTACCAGCTTCCTTGTTTTACATGTGGGGTTTTTACAAAGCCTTTCATATCTCTAGATTTAAACTATTTTTGTTTTCTAAAACAAACCAATCAGGAGATGACAGAGGTATGAAAATAAGAGATTATTTCTTTTTTATTGACTTTTGGTCATTTCTAAAAACATTTGTACAATCAGCTTGAGAGCAGAAAAATGGAGAACATTTCAGATGAAGTCATTCTTCAAGTTCAACTGCCACAGAATTAAATTTGGCAGTACTAACCTGTGGGGTGTGCTTTCTCTACTGCCTTTTCATCTCTTCAGCTACTGGCCCTTATTGAACCGGCATGCTATTTTAATGGCGTTTGCCTTTAAATAAAAAGATTTAATCTTATACTATTTTAGTTTGAACTTCTGAAATTCCTTCATGAGCCGAAGTGGCTCACAGGACTGGAGTTCATACTGGTTTCGGTACGGATTTTCCCCTGGTTGAACTGATGTACCTTGTACTAGGATAGTGTGCAGGAGTGTCCCCTTTGGATACTTGTACCCACAATCCCTTGGGGGTGGCTTCAGAGACAACCACAGTTCCATGCCTACCTTCACAAAGGGAAAGTGTAACGACGGAAATAATAAGTGACAAATACTCTGATCTGAGCAACCTGAACACAGAAGAGAGCTGCGATATGTTAACCTTACAACAGCTACACCCTCCAATATGGCGTGAGTATCACTTGGTGAGGCACAGAAAGCTGCTGGTGAAACAGGAGATGTGGTCTGCACTGCCCTCAAGTAATCTCTATCCTTGCTACTGTACTTTCAAAAACCTGCATCCCCTCCGAAAATGGCAGAGTCAGGCGAGGACTGGCTCATTTAAATTCCTGTTGTGCTGCTGTTTGTGCCCTAACTGGAATGAGAAAGGAAAGAAACGAAAAGCCCTTTTTGAATTGTACATTCAAATGTCTCTCCTCTTTCAGCATTTTGGATTTCCTGCCGGAAAGCGAAACCCCAGTCCTTTGTTGATAAATGAAGTAAGTTTGGAGGGATAAAATGAAGCTGGCTAATCCAGACTGCTGCTCTGTATTGAGTCCTTCAGTTCAAAGTTTGGTGTGGAACTGAGATTGTTTATAGTCCTTCAAGCTTTTCTGACATCATGATCTACAAATACTCAGCAACTACAGTAACTTTCACACCATACCTTTAATACAGAACTATCTTCAGAAGACTACACATTTAGATAACTAGCATGCTGGTGAATTCTTGTGAAAGGTTGGAACAGAAAAGATTTTCACATGATGGATTTCCCCGCGGGCAGCATGGTGGTAGCGTTCACTGCCGAAACTGCGAGTTCACAGGGTCTCCAGCAAGACACAGGGGTCAACTGAAGTCAAACTCTAACTCAACCCTGGTAGCTACACTGAACCAGTGGTCTCTGGGCTATAAGGCCACATAAGATGAGGGTGTAGCTTTCATCTGCTGAGCCACAGATAAATGAAATCAAACAAAAGAAAGGGACTTCCAGTATATATTCTGTTATTCACGTTTCACATTGTAGTGATTCATGTTTAACCCAGGGGACCGATTAATGATTTTTTGGGGGTTCTCCGCACAACATAAGTTAACTTACTAAAATCTGTGACCTCAACACACGCAAATCAAGAACACTAGCTATTTTGTCAATATAAAGCTGTCATCGCTTCCAGCCTCCAGTTGGTAAACTGGTTTGGATCTGGAGCAACCAAATTAGATTTTAATGAAGACAAAACACATCAATGGAAATGACTGGAGCAAAGGTTAAGCAAGGTGGCTGCTTGTTTACTCCTGATCACAGAACAATTCAGTTCAGCAAACACAATAAGAATGTATGACCTCAAAAGACAACCGGTGAGATCAGCACAAAAAATGGGCTAGAAGAGTAACGATTTGTGTGCCATTTAACAATCAGGTACAGTACATGTAAAAGGCCCATCAACTTCAATATATCGAAAGTACATGGACACCATTTTAAGTGTAAATGTAATAGCTAAATGTTAATGGCATGTCTTTATCATCATCAATTCCTGTCGAATAGCAGAAAGCATTACACATTTTAGGTTGTGTTGACACTTTGTGGGGATGAGGGATCAGAATTGGAGAGTGCCTTGAATTATTTTTCTCCCAATAAACCGCATTGTTTTGGGTGGGGGGGGAGAATTAGCCCTGCTGTTACTTGGCGGGAGCGGGGTGTCTCTTACCGGAGGCGGCTGCGGGCAGTGGGGGTGACGGAGGCCGTGGGGGAGGAGCAGGAGGACAGGGACAGCTGGGGTGAGGCCGAGCCCATGGCCATGAGCGAGGCTGGAGAAGCGCTCTCTGGAGCCGCCATGTCCCTCTTCACCTCTTCGCTGCTCCTGCGCGACACTGCTGGGGGACAGAACACATCACGTGAGGAGATCAGCTCTCGCAGAACCCCCCCTCCGGGACCAGCAAGAACCGGGTGACTTAAACGGGTCTCAGGGCAAAGATACTTCTTAAACAGACAACACAGTATAGGAGCAAGAGAGCTGACAGCTGGCCAGGGGTCACCTCCTGACAGTCCCACTGTTGTATTACCACACCTACTGCGCCAAACCAGCTAGGGCAGGGCTCTTGACAAACATCCTGGCCTTGGCAGTCTTGGGACAACGTCTGTGCCAAAAAGAACACAAACTGTATACTCACTGGCAATAAAAATTCACTTCCTTCTGAGGTACTTCAGGTGCCTATCTGGCGTTAACTTCACAGGAATCATCCAACGATTTCAGCTTCCTGGATATTGTCACACCAGCCTTACAGGACACCAGGACTTGTTGGCTTTTTGCCTGGTTAGGTAACTTGTTTCCAAGCCAGATTCATGACAAATTGTGCAGGAAACAAGGGAAACTGCTTTGGCACGTTCTGTGTAACCCTTCAAAGCAAAGGATTTTCAAAGGATACTGCAGGCTATACAACAATTAAAAACTTAATTGGTATGAGACGTCTTTGTAAGAGGGAAGAGTTTCCTTTACTCTACTCTAATTTTAAAAACAGGTTAAACATGCTTCAGCAATCATCAGATTCAACCTGGCAGTGAGTCTGAAAATGAACCATGGTCACTTGTCACTGTTGTTTGCTTAAACTTAAGTGCTCTGTAAACATTGCACTTAAAATTCCACAGTTTCTATACATTGTAGTGGTTTCTTTGTAACTAGCAAGCTAATCAAAAAGCTCATCCTTGGTACTAAGGAGACAAATACAGTAATGGTTCACAGCACAGAAACACTGAAGCAAACCTTTATTGCAACATCTGTTTAAACCACTTGCTCAGAGCTTAGTGTGAAAATAGATAATATAGGCTGCTGAGCATGTTATCATAGAAAAGTGAATTCAGTTAAGCATTATAGATATGCCTCTCTATTCTCGATGTTATATGGCAAAGTAGTACAGGGACAGAGAACTGATCCATGATAATCTCTTTTATGGGTCACGCACAACTGACTTAAAAACTGTTTTCCCTTTAAATGATATATTGAAAATATTAAATCATGAATTTTAAACTCTGTTAGCAGCAAACAATCTCACTCAAAAGCAATGTTCTAATGCTAAAAATAGCATTTATGATTTACTGTGTCTTAAAAGGCAGCTATTCTGACAGTGTACTGTATATTGTTAGTGTCCTGCTGTTGCAACCCAAATCTCCTAAAAACAATGCATGTGATGGCTTCAAATAACAAAAATAAATGCTGATGCTACCTTTTCAAGCACTTTGTCGAGTGCACTCAAACCCAGCATATTCATGCTGCTGTTGTGCATGCTGTTTATATTTTATGTTCACGACCCTTAAGGTTGTATGCACAGAACAGTGAAAGGTTGACTATGTACTGTTCTCCATACTTAGAATTGGAGCTAGGTGAGGAAATAAAGAGATAGGACACCCCAATAAAATAGACTCTCAATGCATATGCTATATGCAATGTCAGCAAACACAGAACTATGAGTCAATTTGAAATGAAAGACACCTGATCATTCATATTTTAATTACGATTGGATTAAAACTCTTTATAACTCTACCATTTGTACTGAAAGCATGTATTGCTTGCATTCCTTAGTTAAAAGCCGTGAGAGAGAGGGCTTGTCACCCCAAACCTACTGTGCTTGGTTTGCTGTCAGAATCATTACGTAACAAACAAGCATATGCTTTGCCTCCTAACATGACGTTTGTAGTCATACAGTATGTAACAGCACTGACTATTGACCAGACCTAGATCATTGCTCAATACATACAGTACAGTACATGCTCTTCAAGGACAGTTCTTAGTGCTATCTTTTAACCCTACAGAAGACAGCTTTAAAGAAGCTATGAGGTGTAGATATTTGAAAGTTACAAAGCTGCCAGAAATAAAGAAGAAATAAGGTTTCTCAAGACACAAAGGGACCTCTATATGTTTTCACACACACTTTCAGCCAGTGCTCCTGTACAGAAGCCAGTTCTATTGAATTGAGGTCATTTCCATATCCAAGCCACAGCGGCTCATCGGACGAGCCCTTCCTGGTTTGGGTGGTGTTAACTGAACTGAGAGCACGTGACTCCCCCACCGGATGAGACGCCAATCCATCATAGGACCTGCCCCCGGCAATACAGGAGCACACCAGTCATACAGCTGGGAGGACTGGAGCAACTGGCTCAAAGTCACACACTCAAAGTTCACCAGCAGTGTCTGCAGTTGGGATTGGAGCCCTGTCAGTTCTGAGCCCAGAGAGTTACCCACTAATTACAAAGACCATAAGAAAAACTACAGGAAATTTACTGAGGTAGCTGCTACAAGTACAACTATTTGCAAGCGTGTTGAAAACGTGTTTGTAAGAGTTTGTAAGAGAAAAAAGGAGGGGAATCCCAGAGATCCCACGGCAAGCTGCCCACCTGAGATGGATTTGGAGGAGTCCAGGGTGGGAACCCTCTGCAGGGAAGAGGCAGGCCGGCTGGCTGAGGAGCTTCTCAGTAGATGCTCTGCTGGGGGAAACCGGAAATGGGAAAACACTGAAAAAAACAGCAGCAGCAGCACTACACAAACACAAGTTAGCATGGAGAGAGCGGGTCTACAAAATCACAAACACCACAAATAAGGTTTGAAGGTGTTTTTCTCTGTCCTCTGGGCTTTGGTAGCATCATTCTGAAACTCTAGATTAAGTACAGAAGTTGCAGCTCCAAATCCCTATGATGATACTAATACAGTATATCTACTTCATCAGTTCTCTACCCGAGAATGACCCTGCACACACAAAGTATTAAGGATTTGACAAAGGGGCACAGATCACCAACATCGACGAATGAGACCTGCATTACAGCCTTGATGGGTACAACAACAATCCATGATTATTCCTAATCTAATCAGTACTGGACATCAGCAAGACAAAAATCAATCTGTAGTGAGTGCATCAATTAGACCCAATCAAAAGACCACACAATCACTTCGAATTCAGACAACATACTGTATCTGAAGACCAGTTATGACCTGTTATGACAACATTGAGCTGAAGGTAAAGTGACTCGTTCCATTCTAACGCCCTCACTTCAGCAATAAATTAGCTGTCCACTTTTCTTGATTTTCTCAATTTCAGCAAACAGATCTTTTGTAAGAGCTAAGTCTACATTTTGTTCCTGCAGCTTACAAAAACCAGAGCACAAGACTGCAGGAGCCAGTGTCTACTTCAGTGCTCCGAGTGATGCAGGGGTTTGAGCAAATGCCAAGTCACTTTAAAGGCAGCGCGTGAATATCTGTTCAGACAATGAGCGGACCACACGCTGGATATTTTAGGAATACCCAAGAAGCATTCACCGCTGAACCACAAGAGCATCAGCCAACATTTTCACTTACACCACAAGACAACTCAGTTCTACTGTGGCCTCAAGACAACAACACATGATTCCAATTTAAACTACAGGACTTTTCTGATCAGCGCCTTTCAATCCTTCCATTTCCAGACACTTTCCCTGGGCACCTGCGCTTTAAGACACAGAAAGAGACAAACTTATAACATCCTAAGCCACTGATGGTGTCGGCACCCAGGGATGACCAGAGGCCACTTCTTCCATGATATTTAAAATAATGCTACATTGACTCTTAAGACAGATGGCACCCTTTAAACTTACCATCTAAACAGTAAGTTTGAAAGGTAAAACCTCTATAATTTCACCTACACCTCCAATGACTGTGCAAGTACTGTAGGTCTTTGTTGCAAACACTACAAAATACAGTGATTTTAATCAACATGCCTGAGCTTGTGTTAAGGTACTTAAGACATGACTTCATGCCGGCACATGGTTGTGAAGAAACAAACAGGTCTGGTGTAAAAACTGCTACTAGAAGTAACAGTATACGTTTCTGTTACTCAGTGCATTAATTGTACCCTTCAAGATGGAAGCCAGGGTTTGGTGAAGAATGACACTAAGGACCGTTCCAGACTAGGCTGCATTTTTTCTTATTTAGATATCCTCCACCAGGGCATTAAGAAACAAGTGTTCTTGTTACAAGCTGAGATGTATACTAATAACTCCCCAGGGTGGAGTCTAGACATTCTTGGTGGGGTATCATTAATCACTGCCCCAGGACTTTGCAAAGAACACAACACATTGCTTCTGAACTTCATCCAGACTGATTTTTTGCCCTCTTTAACAAGTGGCTTAACCCACAAGGTATGGTGACTCTCCAGTTACTCTTGCAGCAACACACTGGGCTTTATAGTTAATACATAAAAGGCCTGGCAGCCTGTATGTGCCTCGCAGAGAGTACATTTTACCATAAGGGAGAAAACAACTAGGTTCTGTACTCTGAAATGCTATAATCAGCATACAGTATATTAAGAACACAACCCAAGACTTCCTCTCATACTAGTATTGTGACTTTAAAATCAAACTAGATATTATAATATTCATATAAACTAAATGGATATTAGGACTTCATACATCAAAATAAAAACTGTACTTGAAAGAATACAGTGATGGCAAGGACTGAAAGAAGGCCTTTCTGCGCATCTTAAATGTAGCAGATGCCGGTCTAAATCATAATGTTGATCTAAAATATCTACTTCATCATTTCCCTTACCAGTACAGAAATCGCAGCGCGATCAAATATTTCACTTTTAGCACACAATATAAAGCTGTGAATTGAAACCCGAATACAGTTTTAAGTCCAAAATTAGAAAGGCTTTCTTGAACAAAGCAGCATTTTCCTTTACATTTTTATTTTACAGAACCAAAGCAGAAAGAAATCATTTACATTCTCCTCCCACATCGATGAATTTACAGTCGGATAGTTGTTACAACATCCACATTAGTCCTATTCTGAATTTACAGTCGGATAGTTGTTACAATATCTATGTTATTCCTATTCATTTTCCGGTCTTTCTTCCTCTTTTCACATCTCGTTTCCACAGTCTGACGCATATCAACCTTCTGGTTTCTGGCAACTGACAAGCTGGAAGGGTCTATCCATCCAGTCATCACCAGATGCCCTCTTGTGGGTGAGGTGGTGGTAATCCAACTTGATTTTTGAATATGATTTCTCTCCCTGAGCAGGACCACACAGACAGGGACAATTTACAGCAGCCAAGCAATCCTAGGCAGAGTGTCTATGGGGGAATGACAAGAAACTGGAGCACAAAAAGAAAACCCATCCACATTTAGGCAGAACATGCAAACCCCACATAGAAGACAGAAGCGAACCAAGGACCCAAAATCTGCAAGAGCGTATGTCATTATTTATTAACTGTCCCAAACAGAACGGTCTTTTCTGAAATGCGACTGCAATGCTGACTGACTGCAGGACTGCAGTAGGTGAAGAAATTAGCCTCATACACTCTGCTGGAGCCCATAGCTCCGATGAATCCTGCAAAACCCTGATATCACTGCCCAGCTGTTTCCTTCAGGCCCTATGGGAAAGGGATCTGAAGATATTTTTCAGGATGTATAACTAAAAATATGACTAAAGAAGAAAGACAAAAACCACCAATTTAATACTGGTCTGTGCTGAATACAAGTTAACTCAACAATGAGAAAGAAAACACAAAATCCTTAATTCACCTCTAGTTCAATACATTAGCAGATCATTGCTAAAATGATGAAAAAGGATTATAATGCCCAAAGACGGTAAAAATCAATTTGCTAACACAGTCTGACATTATGGAGCAGATGAATAGATTGCAGATGGGCGCGAAGGGACAGGAATTCAGGCTGAAGTCATCCATATCACTAATGACCTCTTCTAATCTAAAAGCGGGTTCAGATCGCTTTTTGAGCCAAAAAGAAAAAAAGATCAATAAGTTTGCAGAGGTCACCAGGGGTTATTTCTGCTTCAGCTCTAGTAGTAAAGTGTTTTTTAATGGTTTATTGTGATCAAATTTCTGTTATGAAAATTCTTTCCAAAAACGTAAGAAATCCTGCCGATCTCCTTCCTCCACAATTCACATTTTACTATGAAGCTCATGACGTGCTACATATGCCACCTGGTGCATGATGATGGCAATGTATAATTTAACTTTTTAACAATCACACTGGTAAAAAATACTTAATAAAAAGTGCAAAAAAAAGAATGCCAAATAGTTAATCCAACAGAAACAGAGAAATAGTTGTTCTTTATTTTACACATCAATATGGTATTAAATGGACCCATTAATGATGTTTAAAAATGTACCATGGAACACAACTCAGGATTTTTCATGAAGGATTGGGAATCCATCCACAAACAGAAAAGCTCTTGGAAACCACAACATGGTAACATGGTACTGTCTCCTCATTCAATCTCACCTTAATGGCGTTTTAATTTTATGTTCCTGAGATGGGTTGGGTAATGTAAAAAAAGAGGTAATTGCCAGTCTTGCTTGGTCACACCTCATCCTTCTCTATTTCCATATTATTACAACTGACATGTAAAATTAATGTCAATCCTGCAGACCGTACTGAGCCCGGCTACCCTTTCAGCACCAGTGAAGCTCACAACAGCACCTGAGGCCCGGTTTATTATTGGATTCTGAAGTCTAAAAATTCTTCAGGTCGCATGTTTCAGAAGTTTAATATAGGGGATCATCGGTATTACATTTTCCACCACGCACAGTCCTGGAAAATAGGATGAAGCTTTGGCAGGCCATGTAATTATTTAGATTATCTCCGATCAAACATCCCTTGCTGCAGAAACCCCATTTAAAATAAACGATGAGCTAGTGCACTGAAAATGAGTGTATCTCTTCTGCTCTCATGGCACAGCATGGCTGTTTCCCACTGTGCGAACCGTTGTTAGGTACAGTATGTAAGCTATGGCCTCAGGGGAAACCTGCAGGTTCGAATAAGGTGGTGATCATAGTGAGGTTATATTGCTCAGGGGCAGCTTTGATTAAAGACCTGCTGATGACCTGTTTGTTTTCAAGCTCTGAATGTATATTACAAGTCTTGTTCCACATCAGAAAGACAGATAGGGGGTAATGATCACCTATGGCTTTAAAATACCACTAAAAATGTGAAAGTGAATGGGCTCCACTCAACTGCCCTGGACAGCATGACACGCAAGAATGAACTGTGCTTGTGTTGAATAGTGAGCTAACATAAAATAGCCACATGAAGCATCACTCATACATTAGGTAAAGAGTTTGCATCCATACTCCTGTACGGAGATGAATTACTGAGCTGTAGCTCACAAAGCTAATACAACAACAGTGTTTTAAACAGAACATGATCATGTGAAATGCTATCCTTTATGAACTATGTGCCATTTGTGTGTAATCTGGGGATAAACGCTGAATAGCAGAATGAACAGCTGGCATGCTTCTGTGGACTTCTGTGTACACAAACATGGAAGGTATTTCCATTACTGTCTACTGAAACACCTCTGTGCCAAGTGGAACTGTCGGCTGAGCTTGAAGGGAATAAAGCCAATAGGAGCTGTTTCAATCACGGCAAGGCAGGGAAACTGCACTTCACCACACATTTCAAAGCTATACAAGATGTGATCCTTCCACACAGAAATACACTGTCCTCTGGTCGGACAGAACAGCCTTTGCAATGAAGCATCACCGTCCAGATAGGGAACAAACAGTTCTTTGCAGACCTCCTAAAATGTATACTGTTCTGTCCCCAAACAACCAAATTACCCATACTGTTCATCATTATTTTTGTCTTATTTAAACAGCCCCTCCTGGCCTCTTCATTAACCAAATACTAAAGCAAGTTCAGTCAAATTTAAGAGTCCAAGTGATTTTAAAGTCACAGGCAATTTTGTTTTGTTTTTTTCCAATTGGGAATGTTTTAGACCCAAACAACCCCGTCCTGAACTTTTAACATTCGATTCTCCTCTTTATGGGCCCTGCCAAACTTGCTGCAGTACACCTGGGATTCACTGATGCCTTGATGGTTCCAGACTTCTCAGCTAGACAAAAGAAGTCATTTACTCCTATCGTTTCAAGGCTTAGCTAGAGTTTCCCCTACCCAGGCACTCTCTCTTTCTCAGGGACGGTTCCTGACCCTGAGTATACTCTCCCCATCTCCCAATGCTTACACACTGGGCCGCAGTGACTCCGGAAGCCCGCGAGCTCTGAAGCTCAGTCACTAACCTGGGACGTTGATTTCTGCATAGCTGGGTCTCTTGTCCGCAAGTGAAGACAAGGGTTTAGATGAAGAAATGGGTCCACTTATGGAATGTCTCTGAAACGGGCAAAGGTAGAGAACGTTATTAGTGCAGTCAGCTGATCTCCTCCAAAAGGCACAGGTTTAAAAGCATCTTGGTCTGGAGTTAGCTTCTTATAGGGTGAAGATATATTTACTGTGCTATGAGCTTGTATGAAACAGGGGCCCAACTTTCACTGCGTTCATCCCACTGCACACTTAACTAAAACTATACAAATTCAGTAGTGCAACTCCTTTCGTCTAGCAGGGAGTACACACTGGACGGGACACCAGTCTACCGCAGGGCACAGAGACAGATACAGGCTCAAACATGCACACACTCACACCAGGGCCAATTCTCCCAGAAGTCAATGAATCTGCTAGAATTTCTTTGATCCGTGGGAGGAAACCAGAGCACCCAGAAGAAACCCGCAGGAACATGGGGAAAACATACTGTACAAACTCTACACAGATAGCACGACAGGCCGGGAACTGACCTCAGGGCCCCAGGGCTGTGAAACAGCAGTGCTAACCACAGCATGGAAAACTCATTAATGTCTAAAGGCACACTTGTTGACATCCACTGCACTGTCAGCATCTCAACACGTCTTTTAAATTAAACGTTTTGACAGATCTGCGACGCTCAGCAAAGCTGAGGTAGATCAGTACCCCTCTGGGAAAGGAAACCTCCAAGAAACTCCTGTTGCTGGTGCTAGAGGTGTTGGTGGCACCGCACTGTGCAGTAAGGAGGTGCCATGCTTTCGATGAGATGTGAAATCACATTCCTGGCTGCTTGGTCATTAAAGAACACTGTTTGAAAGAGCAAGGATATTGATCCCACTGTACACGTCTCACTTCTCCGCCTATCTGAAAGCACACCATGGCTGCCACACATCACTCAAGTGGGTGCAGTGTTTTCCCTCTTGTACATAAAGTGCTGCCACTGCCACTGGGGAGAACAGTGCTTTCAAAATGCAAGGAATCATTATTACAATGCAGAGACATAGGGCAGATGTTAAACATTGTTCACACGTCCTGCTATGCTCCAACTCCACCCCAATTATTTCTATGAGTTATACCGAATCTGCGGTGCAGCACCTATGAAACATAATGTTGTTCCATTCCACCGATCTAATGTTAATTTTTTATTCTTTCTTTTCATTTCACTTCCCCAACCTGGATTCTTTGCAAACGGATGAGCACCAGTATTCATCACATTCATCAGGTTTGAGATCCAATTAGATTATCTCCGAGCCCAGTGGCTGGCTGATCTTTCACAATCTCTCTCCAGCGCTGCCCTTTTACCTTAGAAGTCTTCATGTGTGTATATTAATATTTGATCTTTAATAAAAAATACAAGCCCTCTCTAGCCTTAGAGAAGATTTAGTTTTGTTTTTTTTGCTGTCAGATGTGTCTGTAAATAACTCGCCAGGTAGCTCTAGAATTGTTTCATGTTTATATTTCTTCAGAACCTGCAGCAGGGTTATTGAACATCTTTCGATGCATTCAGATGTGTCACTTTCCAATACAAATACTGCCATCTTCCCTAAGTAAGACCAAGTGGCAATGAACACAACAGGAAACTGATATAGAAATGGCCAGAACAGTCTGCAATATATACACATACAGGCATGAAACATGATTTGTAAATGTATGGTTTAATCCGCTAAGAGGACTGAGTATTTAATAAACTTAAAAGATGTACTGCACTGACAAATCCGAATATTTAACTTTCATTAAACAGATCAGTCAATAACCTTGTTTCGGGTATAGAATGCAACCTTAATGTTGAATATGACACAGAATGCATGTATTTTTGTACACTAAGGACTGACTCTGATATTTGAGAGCCAATGTTAAAAGCAATGCCGGAGCATAAAACCATAAGCCTGACATATACAGTATGAAGTGAAGCAAAGCATTCTAAAACGCACACGGAATGTATTCAAAATGAAAATTATTTCATTAAAAATCTCACTGGGCTAAGAAAGAGCGAAGAATGATGAGCCACATTAGAGGAAAGTGGAAACGCTGAGGCGAGCTCATCTATAGTCGCACAAAATAAAGGCATCACTTTGGATCTCTCAGCGAAGTTTAAATCAAGCATGAAAAGGTACTTTCACTATGAGCAAGGCAGCACCTTCAAGTACAAGCCATTGTCTTGGTTAACTTCAAATCTCCTTTTGAAAATTACTACACATCTTCCAACTAATTCTACCTACTAAATATCTCCAAACAGAAAAAAGGAGACAAAAAAGACTCGACTGTCCAATGTGCAAAGCAGTAACCTTGCTACAGGCATTGACATGAAAAAAAACTTTTTTTTTTTAAACATTGAATCTATTCTCCATGTACGACTTCCTATGGTGCTTTCTTCAGAACAGTTTACATTACAGGATTTTTAACAGTGTTCCCCAAATCATTGCTTCTGTCCAAATTCATAGTTTTTAAAAGGGTGTTCTTGTAACAGAAATCCAGATGGCTAATTGAAATAGCGACTTCTAACAAACATCCAGCAGATTAGTCTAGTATCGCTACACTGAGCTTGAGATGTGAGTCAATGCTGAGAGGGAGAGGTAATGAAAAAACTCTGAAATTCCCTTTCATTATGGCCACAGCAGAAGGAAATCTGGGAATAAATGAGGACAACACTGAAGTCTCCAAGGAGGAGAGGAAAGACACTGAGCTGCTGTAATGTTAATGCACAAAAGGGAAGAAACGGCACTTTGACGCTGTACAGGATAAGCCCATCACCTTAGAAGTTTAACAACCGAACAAAACACTTTTTGCAATGACCTTAGTTCTACAACTTAATGGAAGAAACTGATGTTTTCACATCTCTCCTAAACTGTGGGCTGGGTATATAAAAATACGATGAAGACTATCCATTGCAAAATCGTAATTCATCGTAATTACGCCTGGCTGTGGGTTCTTGTACCCCTGTGATCAGCACTTTGATTTATACGAAGCACCAGACAGCTGCCTTTTCTGTTGATAATGCCAGGAGGGATCACTACCCAGTGGATGTTTGGGTATTACAGATTTGTTCCTCTGAAAAACTAATTTTGCCTTGCAGGCCTCCTCTAATGAATTAGATGACCTTTTCAAAAGGAAAAATGGGTTCACTACCTGAAAGGCAAATTAATTGCACCCTTTCTCAAAAAAACTACAGCTTTGTCCATGGTCTTTTAGGTGGTGTGTGTGACAGCCCTGGGTGTCAAGATCATGCCACCCAATTAAATACCAAACTATGCTAAACACACTCACACATCCTGACTGTGTCCGGAGGTTAGGAGAGTCTGGATGGGTCAGGATGTTAGCTAAGATATCGATGAAGACTTAAAATACACCCAAATTTAACCCGTGGTGGAAATCTGCTTCCACATAATGGTAACGGAAGTCAAGGGCCACCGACAGCATTTGTTGTATTTCCTAACTTCAAAAAACTAAGCTAACCTACAGATTATACACCTCATTTTAGACCGACAAAAAAAACACCACAGGAAAAACACTACAAATTCACTGCTGAGAAAAGAACACCAAAAAAAGCATCAATTTTGTTGATGACAAAAGGCTACAGTCAGCACCCTTTTCTAAGTTCTGGATCATATTCTGCCTGCACACAGGTGCTAGAAAAAAGCCAAAGAGAAAAAAAAAAGAAAAAGCAGCAAAGAGCTTGCAGTGTGTCTCAATCTTCCACCTTTTGAGTTTTTTACTTCTATGTCGGAGTGATTATGGATAAATAACAGACACAAAAGCCTAGCTAAAGCCCTTTTAAAAAATCTGGATATTAAGCTTAAAAGGAGAACTGAGTGGAGAGTCCCAATAAATTAGGACATGTAAGAGCTCAAAGAAATCTTAAGCCTATACTAGACCAAACTAGTTTACCATCTGCAAGTACTCTTGATGAGCAACTGCACAACTGAAACAAGAAACCAAGTTGCTGTTCTGCTCCTGTGGTTTACTGATGGATCACGGCGTGAAGCTACAGCACCGCTGCAGAGAGACGAGACATCGGCAGAGGCCCGGTCCCCAGGGGGTCCCCCTACCTGTATGGGGGAGACGGCTGCGGCCGGTGGGGTTTTCAGGGGGCTGGGGCTCAGGGGGGTCCGGGGCATGGCCGTGGCGGCGGCGACAGCGGCGGCGGCGGCAGTGTTGGGCCCCACTGAGGAGAGCAAACACAGCAGCAGCTATGAAACCACGAAGGATCGGCAGGCCTGGCCGTGCAAGAGCCAGCAGCCCAGACAGTCTACTACAGCCCCATGCAAACGACAGAGACACAATTCCACTCCGGATTTAAGATCACAGTTAATTCTCACAGATTTGTGACCTGCAGCACAAGAAGGAAGCCTTGCAGATCTAAGGATGTGCAGGGAGTTACAAATGATGTTAACGACGAGCAACACCGCAGACTGCGCTGGTACAGGTGATGCATTAGCTGCATTCGGAGGCTCAGATTCTGATCTGTGTGAATTTAAGGCTGTTAAATGGAAAGCTTGGTTTCCGCTGACCAAACTACACTGTACTTGTAACAGTCAACGATGCTACAGCAGTATTAAATGCTCGTAACACACATTTTAAGTCCCAGTTATGTCCATGATTTCTAATAAATGATCTACTCCTTTCATTTACAACATCTGAGAATCCCCAGTCACTTATTTTTGTACCCACTCAGTTTGGGAGTGCCAGTTTTAGAACTCTCATCCTCATGGCTTTTCTGTACGTGACACAGGGCAGGTGCCACAGGGCGCATCACTGCACCCCAGCAGGTGCCAGCGAGGCACAGGAATCGCTGTGTGCCCAGAGCCCTGGTCAACTAATGCTTGGATTTGGCAGATACACAAGACTTTGATGAAGGCTGTGTGACTGTTGAGGATGTCAGACACTTTTTTTAAATCTTCAAAAGCAAAACTGAACATTTTAATTGCCTTGGCATGCGAAACCCTCCTTTGACTACATTTCTCATTTTGGCAGCTCCTCGGGTTCCAGAAGCCGATTACCAGCTCAATGAATACACCAGAAACCACTAGTTATAAGCCTCTCAGCAAACTGCTGTAATGTGGACTCACCCCCACCAGGAACTGTTAAAATTGTTTCAGAGATGAATTCAGAGATGAATTTTGATGAAAACGTTTGACAAGGTCATTGCAGCTGGAAGAGACTGGTTTGTGCTTAAGGACTAAAGCACACTACTAGGAAAGTACTGTTTCCGTCTGTTGTTCACCTCCTTGGATTCGTGGGTCCGAACACAAAGCTGGTGAGGTCGGAGACGGGAGAGTTTCGCCCCGAGCTGGGAGGGGAAGAGAGAGGGGAAGGGGTCTCACCCTGCGAGGCGCTGTCGAAGGACTTGATAAGCGTCTTCACGGTGGGGGAGGGCTCGGAGGAGGTGGACGAGCGGCGACTCAGGCCCATCCCCTGCCGAAGGGCAGCTAGGTCTCGCTCCACAGCGTTCATGTAGTTGTACACCCGGCCTCGCTCTTCGTCTTGCCTGGCAACACACAGAACACTGGGCCATGACTCTCCACCCCCATCTCTGAGGGCGACAGCAGGAAAGGTAACTCCACCATGAGTGACGGAGCTCTGTTAGTCCTCAGTCCAGGCGGGAAATGGGAGACAAAGATGAAGCATTTAAAGGAATAAGTCATATAAATCAAAAGGGCTTTCAGTTTCAACATCCCCCTACTCACTGTAGGGTTGCTTTGTGAGCTTTATAGTTCTTCTCAATTTGATTGGGTCAACTGGTAGGAAAACTAAAAGGCTCTCAAAAACAGGCAATGAGCACCACTCCTCCAGTCTTAAATTACATTCACACAGCAATTCGTGCCAAATCAAAGGTATCTAAACGGCTTCATAACCAGGAGCTAAAACAAACTCTCAAAGCACCAGACAAAGCAGTCAGTCTCACACAAGCTTTCAAATCAAAATCATAAGATCCCGAGAAAAACAAAAAAGTGACAACACACTTGGAAAGAAAAGCATCAGTAAACGAGAAGCAGAGACAGGGGTTTTGGTTACAGTGCCACAGTTAGATGTGTGGCCACAGCTGGGAAGATGTTCTCAGTAGTCAGATTCTTTAAAAATTAAATTGCGATCAGCAGTTTTAAAGCTGGACAGTGGCACAGTGGTGTGTATAACTGCCTTGCAGTTCTGGGGTCCTGGGTTCAATTCCTGGGGTGTTACCTGTGGTGCTATCTGTGTAGAACTTCTCCCTGTGTTCATGTGGGTTTCCTCCCACAGTCCAAAGACATATTAGGAGATGAACTGGTTTCTAGAAAAAATGTCCCTGGTGTGAATGTGTGTGCGTCTGTCTTGAGAGGGGCTGGGGTCCCGTTCAGGGTGTACCCTGCCTTGTGCCCAGTGCTTCCTGGGATATGCTCCGGCTCCCCCATGACCCTGTACTGGATAAGCACTCACTGAAAGTGATGCGATAATGAAGTTTTAAAACTGGGTGCAGTTCTGTGTCAGCTAACAAAGCCACAGGAGCTTAATTCAACAATGCTAGTTCTTGTCCAGGTCAGATTTATTCTGTAGTACAGACAAACCTGAAAAGAACAGAAATGACAAAAGGATGCAACATCCAGTCTCCAGTCTCGATTCCTTGTGACAATTTTCAGTTTTTTTTTAAAAAAAGGTCAGAGACAATTTAACTTTTCCTGGAAACCATTCACTCCAGACACTCTGCAGCATCCCTGCCAAAGGAGAGAGACAAATTGGAACAAGGCATCTCAGAACAGGCCTCTGTGAGCTGTACGTGTGAACTGCCAAAGCCTCACCACTTTTGGGGTGTAATTGCATTAACGTCAAGCGGAGAAGAGCACTTTGAGAAAATGTAGTCACGGAATCAACAGGACCAAAGGTTTGTTCTGAAAGTCATCCAAGTACAACACAAAGAACATGCTCAGATCACACTGCAGGAACACACAATGCAGTCAAGAGCAAAGTAGTTTTACAACACAATACTCTGCAATATTTCTTTCATATTTATGTACAGAGGAAAGAAGAACAGAATGAATGAATCCCTGAAAAGTGAAACGACTACAATGGATATAGACTGTCCACAGAAGAAACAGTGTTGTGTAAGTGAAGTGAATATAATAGTGTCTGAAAAGATTCCAGAATGAACACTTACTTAAACATGAACCAGCGGATACAAGTGGAAGCTACTTAGAAGGGTATTTAAAAACAAGAACAGGAGACAAGTCTTTACCCAAAGGGTTGTGGGAGGATGGAACAAGTTGCTCAGCCATGTTGTTGAAAGCTGATACCCGGGCATCTTCCAGGAAAAAGCTGGATGAGATCCTGGGATCAAGCAGCTACTAACTACCAAATGAGCTAGACAGGCCTAAAGGCCTCCTCTCGTTTGTACCCTTTCTGATGGTCTCAAGAGGAAGGCCGTACTTGCGGTTTTTGACCTCATCCAGCTCCTTGCCCAGCTTCTCGTTCTTCTCCTGGGCCTCGTGCAGCCGGCGCCTCAGGTCCCCGATCTCCTCCTGCGCCTCCGACTTGATGTCGTTGGCGATGACCACCGCGGTCTGGAGGTCGGCCTGGAACTGCCTCCACTCTGCCGATTCCTCCTGGAGCAGAGGAAGGCATCAAACACAACACATCCGATTCCATGGGGATGAGGATAGGCGTCACGCGACACTTCATCGCTGTGAGCTGTTAACAGTGCAAGACCTTCAATCCCCCCCAGCACCACTGGCATCAGCCAACGTTTAAACTTGCCCTCAATTTATGTACAAATAATAGACCATCTTTGCAGAAAATTAAGCTTCACATCTTTAATTCTTTATAATTTTGTATGTGCACTGGAAACTGGAAGGACTGAAACTGCACACAAAAATTGCTATTATATTGGAATTGGCTCTTATATTGAAGAAAACGCTTCCAAACTGGAAAATAAACACCCATTATAGCTACTATACAATGCAGCCATAAAACAACAGTCAAAACAGTATGCTTTGTGTAGTGCGTTTTAAAGGACTCATTTTATAAAACGAATTTTTTAGCACTTGGATCAGTAAACGATAAAAGACTGAAAATACACATAAGCCAACTAAATAACCCCCATAATATCTGGTTTCCTAAACAAATAACTTAGTCTGTAGGGGCAGCAGATGTGCCCACTACAAATACCAGAAGGGGAATGATTGGTTAGGCTTTATGATCTTCATCTGCTTCTCCACTCGTGTGATTCGCATCACAGCTGAGCTCCAGATCACATCAACTCGCACACTCAGCACTGGGAAGTGGGGAGACAAACTGGGAAATGGGGATGCAGGTAATGATGTACAATTTGAGCATTTTGGGCAATGTGGCTCCCTGATTCTCCACCTAGACAACAACATAATTAACTGGCGGTCTCCTTACCCGTAACCTGCGGTTCAGGATTTTAATTTCCCGCTCCATATCGTGTTTTTGGTCCTGCAGTTTTTTGACAGAAGCTATAGGAAAAAAAAAAACAAGTGGAAACTTCTTAGAAGGGTATTGTTTTTAGAAAAAAATCTGTGCGCTTAAAACCAGGTGAGCAAGCAAGACATTCAGAAAAAGCAAAATAAAAAAAAAAACACAGAAAGCTTTTTTAAATGCTCACTGCATATCGAGACTGCATGTGCTGTGAAAAGCAAGTACTAAACCTGCCTACGTAAGGTGACAAACCATTTCCAGGACATGAAACAGCTGTTCCTGGAATCATCCATCAACGAAGTTTCAATCCACCACTGGCTGGGAAACTTTCTTCAGTGTGAGAAGACACTTGATATTTCTGTCTCTCCAAGCTTGAGTGATGACCTCCTGATTCACACATCTATCATCCAATGCGCAGGCTATCGAGAGTCCTTTTTTAACATTATCTTACGATGACTAATTTTATATTCTTCTTCTTCTAATAATGCATTTATGTGCCAATAAGCTTCAAGGAAATATTAAATGGTGGAGTTGGGCAAAAAAGGGCTAATATACCCTCTTTACCCAATGATAAAACACACTTAACACTCTTTTTCTGCTCCAATGTTTAATTTCGGAAATATTAAATTGTGAAATAGAATCTGTGAAACAAGCTCTAGAATAGAGAATTTAAGTTACTTAGGAATATGCAGAAGTAAAATGATATGTCCAAGTTCTAGGACTGAAATTGATAAAAAATAATTAGTAAATGATTAGTATTAAATGTACAGTTGTAAACAAAAGTTTGTGAACCCTTAGGAATTATATAGATTTCTGCATGGATGGCTCCTAAAATGTGATCTGATCTTCATCTAAGTCATAATAAACACAGTCTTATTTAACAAACACACACACAACATTTTACACTGCCATATCTTTATTGAACAAATGGTTTAAACAATCAAGGTCACTGATGGAAAAAGTATGTGAACCCTTATATTTAGTAACCAGTGGAACCTCCTTTATTGGCAATAACCTCAACCAAACACTTTCTGTAGCTGCTGATCAGACCTGCGCAGTGGTTAGGAGGTATTTTGGTCCATTGCTCTATACAAAACTGTTTCAGTTCATGTATATTTTTGGGATGTCTTGCTTGAACGGCCTGCTGCAGATCATGCCACAGCATTTCAGACCTTGATTGTTTAAACCATTTGTTCAATACAGATATGTAACATGTTGTGTGTGTGTTTGTTAAAAAACGTATTTATTTATTATGACTTAGATAAAGATCAGATCACATTTTAGGAGCCACCCATGCAGAAATCCATATAATTCCTAAGGGTTCACAAACTTTTTCTCACAACTGTAGTGGAGATTCATTTACCGCAAATAATCAACATCCTAGCTGGAACAAAAAACAGAAAGTGCTCTACTGCTAGTCTACTGCCAACCTTACAGTACCACTGTTATTAAAACTACTTCACTATGCAATATACTTTAAAAACAAAGAGAAGAGATGGTAATGCATCTCTGCAGTCCTCAGAAATTCCATGATTTAATCTGTGCAAAAGTACATTTCAGATCCTTCACTTTCTGCTTCAGAGCAATGCATAAGACATAGGATGTCAGCTGGAAGAACTTTTTTTTTTATCCCGCCAGCAAATAAATCCAAACGCAAGATCTCAAAACACGGCATCTTTCAAATAATGTACCTCCGATCCATGCGGCACATAAAAGTTGAATGCAATTAAAACCGATTCAAAATTCTGAATTTTTAAACCACTCATCTCAGAAATTTGCAATAAAATTGATCTTCTATGTTGAGATAAGTCACGAAACAGTTACATTTAATGGTTAGCTATTTTATGTGCATCTTTTGGCACAATTATTTTCTCTTTGCCTTAATAAGTCTAAATGTGACCTAAGGAACACAGCAAAAAAACATATCCTTACTCCTTTTTACCAGTGGTGGCTTTCTATAAACTAGCTGGATAAAAAAAATAAAATGGTTCAAAAGCTCCATCTTGTGTCCACACAGAAATCTGGCACCCCTCTTCTCCTGCACTGTTCTACCCCAGCAGATCTAGTCATCTCCACTGCCGTACTTTGACGCAACCAGCTCCTTAATTGCTATATTGGAGTGCCCTCATTAAAAGTAGTCATGCTCTAGAGAACAGATATAAGTTTCTAAGAAGTTGTCTTCAATGAACAGATCAAGCAATTTACTATACCGTCACTCATAATCACTTATCATTCACTAGCTGTCCTGTGTACTGAAAATCAGTGTGCGACCCCTGCGTCAGTGAATTACCTGCTCTCTAACAGAGTTGTGAGAGGTGGTTCATACTGTAAGTGGGAATTGTTAAACTCACTCAAAGCTGCACACTCTCTCCCTGGTGCATTTGTGTACTACAGGAAATACGTACTGTAGTTGCATGCACTAAAAGCACACAGTCTCTCAGGCAGCTCAGAACTCTCAATCGTTTGAGAAATCAAGTATGAAAATCCTGTATATCTCACTACAAAAATAAACAGGTGAATTGTTTTAATTAAATACTCGGGATGGAACAAAAACATCAAGAATAAAAGACCTTTAAGGATTTGAGTTTGAGATTCCTGCGCCGCATTATTTGTATTCAATCTGAAATTCGTAGCGCAGACATCATGTGTGAGAAGATTGTTTTAAATGCATCTGAAACTCACGTTATAAATTCTGTTTTCAGCATGAATCATCAATCACACATTTAGGAAATGACCAGATACAACCGGGAATGGTTTGATTTAAGGCAGCTGTATAGCAGCACGTGTTTTTTTTAATTAGATTTAGACAAGAAGAGTCCTGCATTGTTTACTACTCCTCTAAGCAGTGTAGTTACGTTGCAGTATAAATGAATACTCCTCCAGGACTTTATATTACAGCACCACAGTGCAGTGGGATCCCAGTGTGGGCTGGTCACTCACTCTCCAGGTCGGAGATGATGAGGTTATCGTGCAGCTTGACGGCCCTGTGCTGTTCCACCTCATCCTCCAGCTCGAAGATGGTCTCCTTCATGTCTCCGATCTCCGTCTCCTTCTCCTCCAGCTCCGCTCGCTGCTTCTCTAGGCTTCTGGAGAGCTCGGCAATCTGTTTCTGCGCCTCCTCTCGAAAATCCCGGTACTCCCCTTCCACCTGCAGGTACACACACAGTCGAGGTCACATCTGGGAAGGCTGAGAGACCATGACAGATAGAAACCTTGTCGCTGGGGTCTAGGGGTTGTGCCTGTGGACCAGGGTATTGAACAGACCCTGTATTAAACCCTGATGGATCTTGGATATACAGTATTAGGGGTTGGTTATTTGATAAATCCTTGTAAATCATTATCATTCTCAATTCACCTCTTAACAATCAAAACATGCAACTCATTAAGGTAAAAGGTATTTAAAAATCAAGGAGGAAGCAGCTAAAAGTGTGTGTAATGACTACTAGATAGCTACTAGAAAACCCATTCATGGCCTTCATTTTCATCCGGAATAATTTAGGAGACAATTAACATAATATTCCTTCAATGGTATTGCAGTCATTTACCAGAAACATTATGAAATATACTGTATAGTGGCAAAAAAAACAACTGTAGCAAAACTACAACATTTACACAGCTTGTTGAATTTAGATTATTAAGAAGCAAAAAATATTTAAGCCCATATTTCACTCGGCACAAACATTTTCACAGCATTGTGCTACTTGAAAGTTGGAGTCCTTTACGCACTATAAAGAAAATGGTAATTAACAAGTGCTTAAGGCTTGCGAATGTACTGTATATTACATTCACAATGTTCACCACTGGAGCACGAGGGCCCTTCTCGGGTTACCTTGCCGAGGGTGTCCTGGAGATGTGCAGCTTCATTGCGGTTGTGGCTGAGCTCCTCCTGCAGGTTGGCAGCCTCGGTCTCGGCCTTCTCCTTGTCTAGGCGAACGCTCTCCAGCAGCTCCCGGATGTCGTTCTTGTCGCCGGAGTTGTGGATGGAGTACAGCTCTGCGACTTTCTGCCTCTCCTGCTCTAGCTGGGCCCTGCAGCGGTTGAGCTCCAGCTGGTCATTGTTCAACATGGCCTTGTACTCTTCCAGGGCCGCCACCAGACCCGCCCGGTCCTTCTTCTCGGACTCGACCATGCGGTCCATGTGGTGATTCCTCTCCTTAAGGGCTCCGATCATCTCCTGAGCCTCCTTGTTGTCCTGTTCGGCCATTTTCAGGGTGTTGCTGAGGTGCTGCTGGACACCAAGGAGCTGCTCGCGGTCAAAACGTGCGTTTTCAGCCAGGTCCACGTACCGCTGCTCCAGCTCCAGGTACCGTCCGCTTTTGATGTCCTCGTCGATGACATATGAGATGTGGTGGTCATCTAGCAGGGAGCGGAAATACTCGATCTGCCGCCCGTAGTGCTCCAGCTTGTCACTCTGTTGGCACAAAGAGTCCATCAGGATGACCTTCTCCTCCCCAAGCCTCTCGTTTTCTGCATTCAGCTCCTGTGTGATCTGCTGGAGGTCTGCCAGCTCCTGTAGGGTGGCCTGAAGCTCCTCTGCGGTACTATGCTGGTTCTCCTCCATTTGGTGGATGCGTTCTGTCAAACAGGCCACAGACACCTCGCTGGCATTTCCGCTGCTCCCTTTCCGGGACCTCTCGCGACTGGGGGCGCCTTCAGATTCTGAAGAAGAAGAGGGGGCATCCAGGGCATCATCACTAGAGGTGATGGGCTGGTAAACCTCACTGGACTCGCTGTCCAAATTGTCCATGGAGCTGCTGCGCCGGTTCTCTGTTAACGTGTTCTCATCCTGGCTCAGGAGGTCCTCCATGGACCCAGGGGCAGATCCCTCCACCGAGGAGGTCAGCGTCCCCCCACCGTCACTGTGCCCACTCCCTACAGCCAGATCAGGGCTCATGGACTGGTAGTTGAAGATCTTTTCCGAGCTGTCCAGCCTCTGCTCCAGGGAGAAGCCCAAGGCATTAAGCCTGTCCTTCAGCATGCGGTTCTCGTTCTTCAGCTGGTTGAGCTCCTCTCGGATGGCGTTGTTCTGGTCCTGGAGCTGCAGCAAGGTTGACTCCACATCCGTGGCCATGATGGGGGCAGCTTCCTTCTCCTCCTGCTTCTCCTCCTCGCCATCCTCCGAGGTCTCCTCTCCCAGTCCCAGCTGCACCCGCATGTCCCTCAGCTCGCTCCGCAGGTGAAGGATCTCCACGTCTTTGCTCTTGGCCAGGCCCAGGAGGTCCTTCACCTTGGCCTCCAGGGCGGCCCTGTCGCTAATCTGGCTGTCCGACTTCGACTTGCTCATGCGGGTCTCGGACTCGGCAAGGGCTCTGCTGCGCGAACGCTTGGCCGCCACCGCCGCGTCATTCGCCCCCGCGGCAGCCGCCGAGAGCTTCTTCCCCGGGCCGTTCCTGGAGCGCTCCCGCAGCCGGTCGCGGGAGGAGCTGGCCTCCTTGGCCGTTGAAGAGGTCACCCTTTTGGCTGAAGATCCTTGATTGTGCAAAACAAAGGCATTACTCTTATTTATTTATTTTTGCAACAATGGAAAAAAAACAACAAAATGGCTGTTGATAGCCAAATTTTAGAGATCTAAAAACACGAAAGGAAGTTATTTCCATGTACAAGACTAAGAACACACTTGAAGATAGTTCAACTGGAGAAAAGGAACTACGCAATACAAGCTTGATACAACAGCTCTCATATTAATAAGACAATTTGTTTCTTTCACCCATCACATAGATTAGTATGCTGAACAGCCTTCATTATATAGTTAGAAGCATTACAGATGGCACTGCTATCTAAGAGACGGGACCAGGAGACACAGAAGTTGCTCACTGATAATTGATAACTGCTAACATACCATTTGTAAAAGGCTAAGGCTGAGAGCTGTTAGGGTTATCCAGTAAGTGCGATATAAGTGGTTTAATAAAGTTGCCATGCTGTAAGAAAGAGGGAAGGTACACTGTTCAACACATCACCGCTGCACGCTGGAAAGCGAGGCCGTAGTTTCAGCCCTCCGTACCTGAGCTCGGCCTGGCCTTGCCCTCAGGGTTGCTGGCGGCGGCGGAAAGAGCCGCGCTGCTCTTTTTCCCTTTGGCGGCAGCGGTGCTCGCTGGGGCGCCCCCGGCCATCCCGGCTAGCAGGTCATCGCTGCTCTTCACCTGCGGGGAAACCAGAGCGGCCTGGTCAGCGCCCTCCACAACGCCTGCCCCCAGGCCACGCTTTCCTGTAGGAACGAAGCAACGATTCGCCCTGCGCGTGGCGGAGACCAGCGCGCGTCCTGTGGCCGAGGCGCTCAAAAGAGGGCCCGCTCCGAAGGTTCGAATCGTGTGGCAGGGACGCAAGGAATCACGGCACAGTTTGGTGAAGGTTTGAGATTTGGTTAATTTCCGGAGAACACTGAAGGAGACACACACAAGGTGTATATCCTACAGCATGCCTAAATTCTAGCAGTGTTACAATGAGATTTATAGCCCACACACAGCTGTGGTCACCCGAGTTATTACCATGAACGGCTGTTTATGAGTGACCATTACCAATCGGATTGGGATCATAGAAAATATTTCTACCTATGGCACAGTGGCGGTTCCTGATTAAGCTATCCCTGCCTTTCAGTTACTCCTGAGGCGTCACGTACAACAGCAGGCGTCTGTTTAAAATGCGCTCAGGCCAGGTCAGGAGCAACGACCCCGGGCCAGAGTCAGACTTCCACAGCACCACCCTGAGAGGAAGACAGCCCCGATTCGGGCCCTGTGACAAAGTGTGAAGAACCAGGAAAGAAAAGTGGAGATCGAACCTCCGCACGCAAGCAGAGGGAGGGGAGCCCCTCGTCCTCCATTACCTTGGAGAGTTGGGGTGCAGAGGCAGCCTTGGCGGCAGTCTTCACAGCCCCGGAGCCCCCCGAGCCGCTGTCGGGTCGCCCTCTGTCCCCGCCCGGGCCCTTACTGCCTCCCGCAGCCTTGGGCGCAGTGGCCGCAGACCTGCTTGCTTTCTTCATGATGGGCTCTCGACTTCTGATACATTTACAGCGCAATCTGTCAAAGGCAAGACGGGAGAATCAGTCGGTTTAACAACATTAGCCTTCTGCGCTCAGGGTCTGTACATCATGGCCTCTCTTTATACCGTATCCTTGTTTATTTAGCAATATTACTTCGTCCGACAGTTTTGCAATTCTGTGTGAATGCATTGGCCTGTTTTCCGATTTGTTATTGTCTGCTGCGCCGTATGAGGTTATGAACCCCGATTCTGCCCGGACTAGAATGCAGTCTTGCCCTGCCCACTAGGGGGAGCCAAAGGAGGGGCTTATAGTTTGTGCCTGTCCGCAGCCAGTCGTTTTTTTACTCTGCTCTCAGCTGCTGCTTAACTCTCAGACTTTTCTCTAAGCTGCGTTTCTATGCTTTCACAGTATTTTGCTTGCTGGACAGAGCTTAGCTTTAAATTTAACTTTAGATTTCCATAATATGTCATTTCATTATCTTTGTGAACACCTTTCTCTTAGTGCAACTCCACCCCAGGCAAGTTTAGCACGCGCTCATTAAATCAACTAACATAAAAACGGCTTTGATCTCTTCAGACAGGGCTTGTCCAACATTCTGTCGTTTGTTTTTAAGACCAGGCTAGCCAGGTCATTCTAGTCCTCACACAGATTTTACAGGATCTTTGTCATTACACAGTCTAATCCACGAGTTTGTATTTTTAGCTCCCTTCTACAACCAGGCACAACCTTGGGATGGTCCACTAGGTGGCAACAATAGGCCAGATCTGCAAAAGCAAGAGAAACTATTGGAAGTGTATTGTAATCAAACAACCAACTTCTGGCTACCTGAGCCATCTCCCGCTCTGAGAGAGAAAAGTCGTTAAAATATCTGCACAATAACAAAGGACAGTAGTAAAAAGCCAGAAACAATGTTTCTCTATAAATAAATTAAAAGCTACTGCAGAATAGACAGTGGGTTCGTTATTCCCATTTTTCTCATTACAGAACATACGTAATGTACTCCCTGTGCCCAGCTGAAGAAAATGGCATAGATGGGGTCCGACCATGATCTTATTGCGTGAGCTTTGTAGTCATCTACTATATTTTGCATTGAATCTCTGTCATTAAAATGTAAGCCTTGTTTCTTTGGTTTAAAAAATTGCAAGCATCAGCAGGGCGCTCCTATAGCGCGTAAGATCTCAAGTGCCTTTCAGGTGAAAGCACTGTTTGGCTGCAGGCACGCTGCCCTAGGTTACCATATTGTTTTTGCTGTTTGCCCAAGAATCAGAAGACAACAGAACGAAAATCCACCTGTCAGTTGCAGGCTTAGCCTAATGTTTCTCAAAACGTGTAAGGCAGAGTACAAAACAGTGGCTGCATCTGCAACCTCTTATGAGTCGACACCATTGGCTAATATACATTTTACTGCCAGATTAAAAGCAGACAGGAAAAAATTGAAGCTGCTGAATTCCAGACAAAATTAATGGTCTCAAAGCCTGGGGAAAAATAACTATGATAAATATAATACGCCTGAAGAGACAGACAGAGTACAGGGGGAGGGAAGAAATTACACTTTTCAAAGCCAGGCTCTCTCGGAACATAAACGCTGTGCGATCTAATTGGTTAGAAATGGATCCGAAGCCATGGGCTTGTGAAAGTATATGTCAGGCATACTTATTTATGGCAATGTAACTTACACCATCTTAAAACAGTTTAGTTCTGCATTTTCTTTCCATCGTTGAAGCAACATCGATTTCTGGAGCTCTAAAAAATCATCTGGAAATGCTACAGAGGCTACAGTACAAGAACTGCCAGAAATGTATGAAGGTCTTATCGGAGATCCATGCAAATTGGGACATGATTTCACTGCATAGGGTGCCATTCTTTGTAAACCATTACTGTAGAGTGACATTACAGCTCGACCTTCCCCGATCCCATGAATCCTTCTCAGTCCTGCCCTGATGGGAGAAGGGCAAAAATCATTTGCTCCCATTTTTGTAGTAGTGCTACCAATAGAAAACACTTCTCCAATCTGATTACGAGGCACTGTTTGGAAAGAGTACAGTTAATATCACAAAGCTGAAAAGTCCACTAGAGAGATCTCAGACACTGCACTAATATTTTAAATTTTATTGGCAAGGAACCATTATGGAAATAACAGCCTATATACAAGCAAAAAAATGAAGTCTACACCAGATAAGTATACATATTTTGCTGCCCAGTCTGTAGGAGAAGTATTTAGATTACCTCTGCCACAAGGATTAATTAAGCATGATGGAATTTACCTGCTGGCTGCAGACGTTGCTTTCCTTGGAGAGCACATTGGAACACAGCACTGCTTCCCAGGATAGATCACAATAAATAAGCAATGCTCTCCAGCTCAGGGAGTGCGTCTATATACACGAATGGACCAGGACATAACCGCCGCTGGCGAGGATTTGAAGAAACACAACCTGTCTCATTGGAGAGCTGTCTGGGACAGCCATGCCAGGCAGGCGGAGCTGGGGGCTCCTTAAAAGGATCTAAGAGCTGTTGAAGCCGAGGAGCTGATAAGGCAGGCCCAAGCTGTACAGGATAGCACAGTGAGGGCAAAAGAATTTGGGCGAGACACCTCTCTGCTACATGCCACTGTCGTCAAAGTGGATGAAAAAAAAGGGGGCCTTATGCTTGCTCTATGGGTATGAACACACTCACCCCACTGAATGAAGCTCTGATTCCTGTTTCCAGTTGTAAGAACTCCACTTTAGACTGGCATGGCAAAAGGAGGCAAGGGTAAATACCCTTGATTCAAAATGTCAAGGCAAAACAAGGCATTTCTATCGAACATGGCAAAGCGACTTTGCCATCGGCAATCCAACGTTGATGTCTTGAAGTTGGTCTACTTTACACGTTTTAAAAAAGATTGCAAGGACATAACTTTCACCTTTGAACACATGCACTTAGACGTTCATCATTCTAATATTGGGGCAGCTTTCAGTTGATGGCTATGCTCCAGGTACAGAGCCCAAGCCTTCGGGAACAGGCATAGTGTGCGATACACATTTTAACCACCTGTCTTGCTGCCCCATTTGTTTCAGGAGGAATGTTGGTCTTCTTGCATATACTGTATTAATTATCAGTTTGTGAGGAAAGCAAATGAAGGAAACTAATGTACCTGCAAGAGAAGAAAAGAACTCTTAACTTTTTTATCTTAACTCTTAACTTTTTTAAATTTTATCATTATCAGATGCAAAACAGTATTTTCATCAGAAAGTAGGCTGATCTGCACTCTGATGTGTAACCGGAATAACCTGACTAATAAACACACAGGGGAAAAGAAACCATTCATGGCAACTTCTCCCTGGGAACACTTTTAGGATTAATGGAGTAATTGTTTCAATTATTAAAGGCTTCTCATGGCTAGAATTGAATAATTGTTGCCATAACCGAAGAAACTTTTTCAAAGCTCCTTTTTCATGCAGTTTTGTACATTTCAGTGTGTAGTGGAATGCTTTGTACTAAACCTCTGGTTTCCTAGCCACACTGAAATGTTAATAGTGCGCCAATCCACTTACAGATCTTTAAGTAGTTAAAGGTAATATGGGTCAGGATGGTTCTGAAAAGGCAGAAATCTGGACCGACTTATGAATTAACATAATTTCGAGGTATGAACTTTGGATTTATAAAGAGCAACAATAACTCTTGCTTTGATGGAAAATTAACCCAGATCATTGAATGTACAGTAGCTGATTTGATCATCTTGGTTTCTTCTATCAGTTTACAGTAAGCCAGCATAGATGCCATTCATCTTTGTATCAAAATTACAACCATCCCTATATCACCACAATCGCTTTCATTTCGGTCTGTGTGTGTGAATAATCTCTTGCACCGAACATTCAAGTTTTCTTTTTAAATCCATTTTTTAGCTCTGAAGTCCCTGGGAATGAGTCAGTACTACCAGCAGGGTTGGAAATGTTTTTTTTAAAGGACTGACAAACACTGGACTTAGTGTATCATTACCCATGACGCCCTGGAAGCACAGGGAATGAAGGCAGAGCCTGCGCTGTGGTGTCAGATTCAGGCCTACAGCAAGGCTGCACACATGGCCAATACCTCCACAGATGCCTGGCAACATATCTGATGCACTGCGGGTGCTGTCATTGGTAGCATCCGATTTTTCTGACCAAGAAATGGAAAATATTGGATAGTGGGAGCCAAGTTTTGTAGGCCTTTCGGTGTGTAAATATGTCACAGATTTTTCCACATTGTACTGTACCTCTCCATATAATATCAGTAGACGTGGTAATTGCACAAAGCAAACATTTAGGCTTGTGAAGTGGTAAAATAAGTGCTACATACCGTTTTCCAAAACTGAGACGAGAATCCAGAGCCCTTTTCAATGCCAGTCCAAATCACCCCCACATTTTATGATAAGTGAATGACATTTAACATACTGCAAAATCAGCTTCGTTTTTGGTGTTTTACTTTGTTTTGGGCATTTTAAACAGAATTTAAAACAGGCTTTAAACAGATTAACAAAACAGTATTAACAGCAGTATTGGAATTTCTTCATGAACAAGGAAAGCAGTCCTTGAGTTTACCAAGAATAGTTGGTACTGTATCCCAATGGAATCCTGCGCACTGTACCTGCAATATCTGGTCACTCATCTATTATACTTTCTGTTTTAATTCTGAAGATCCATTATATTCCATACATAAAACCAGAGCTGTCTTCTTTCAGTAAGTCACAGACCATATGCAAACAGCGCCTTATTGCAATGGGACAACCCAAGCTTTCACGCTGAATCTTGTGAAGCCCAACTCATTGAAAGTATTGCTTCCATAAAAACAAAAACAAAGCATTCTGAAACCAGGAACTGCTGTGTTTTCTACAGTAGCAGAAAGCACTAAGATCACCAGACAAGGAAGTTTCAAGCATGTGAAGACAGGTATTTCACCTTTCAAAGAGAGAAGTCTTTTACATTTGCTTTGCTAACAGCCTGTGGGAGCTAAAGAATTTCAGTTCAGTAAAAATCATGAATAGCACAAATATTTCCAGAGTCTGTAGACAGGCTATGTCGGTTATGGAGATAGACTGGATGCCTTCTGAGGTGAGAGATTTAGGGCTACAGTAGACTCGTATCACTAACAGGAGACATCCGACAGAAGTCTTGTTATATTTTGTCTAGAGTTTTAAAATGAAAAATAAACCTATCCTCACCCTCACTGTGACTGGAATTCCTCACTAAGAACCCCCAGAGGAATTCACAATGTCCCTGAGTTCACTCTGTACTCACGATTTGTTTAGATAAAAGAAAATAAAGGGTGACCTAGAGACATAAGGCCAGCTTTTCTTAAAATAAAATTCAAACTTGTGCTTAAAGCCTCCTGGCCAGTCCAGCCTATTCTACAGAAATGCCAGTAACTTACAAAATCAAAACTGTGCTGTTATCTCATAATCAAACTAAAATCATCCCAGTACTGACACGAGTAGGGATAGCATTTCATCCCTCAGCATTAGCCACTCTCAAGAGCCTGAGACAGCTGAAGCGTTTCTCATGCCACACATTCCTCTACCTTGGAATCCTACTGCTCTTACATAGACTAAAGCATTTTACACCATCCAGACAACACCTTCATCTACTTTTGTACACATCAAGGCTGACAAAAAAACCTGGAACAGAGTCTCAGTATTTGAGTCTACTGAGGGCCCTTTTAAAGGATAACTCTGAGCAAGACTTGTGTACATTTATTCACTTCTTACCGGATATCCAGGCTGTTAAGCACATATGATAACCTTTTTTAAAATAAGTTTCTGTTGTCCATTAGCAGTTATTGACAAATGGGCCTAGTTAGCAACTATTACAAGTTTTGGGTAAAATCGAACTTTAGGAATAATGAAATTCTTTTGAGACTTGAATTGAGTGAAGCCCTATGCCCTCCTCAAATATACACAGCAGACAAAAGACCACCCCAGAAAACAACAGTATTCACAGAAGGAAAACAGGAGAGGCCCATATTCTTAGACAAAAGTTCAGACATCATATATTCGAAGCTCTACAGGAACCAATCCTGCAAATAGCTATAAATTATTCACCTCAGCAGAATGAAGCTTTCCTTTGCCTGCACTCTCCATTTAAGGGATTGTCTGCCATTTCATTTTAAGGGAATTACTAATGGGTCAACAATCATGTTTAATTTAAGATCCTGCATTGTTAAGTAAAGCCTAAATCTCTGCTCCTTCAACTAAAAATTGCTGTGAACAGAAAGTTCCATCATTTAACACTGATGGGAGAAAATGTCACAAAATGACTCAGTCAAGTACAGAAAGACACTAACAACAGAAAGCTAATCCAGATCATGGGTGTTTGGCTGCTAGGTTGTTTTTCCAACTTAAGAGTCAGGCAAAAAGTCCAGGAAAACCATTCGCACCACTTTACAGCAACCCTCAATTCTTTCCGAAGTGCTGATTTACAGCAAAACTGAGGCCTCTTTTTCTTGAACTATAAATAGGCCCTAATTTCTTTCAGCTGCAAAAAAAAAAAGGCCCAAATCGCAGCCCGGCCATGGAGCCTCACCCAGCCTCTCAGGGGTCTGAAATATTTGCTCTCCCTTGCAAGCCGACAAGTACAAATATGTTCTTGTATAAACAAGAGAACGGAGTGTGAGCTTAAGACATCATTTAAAAATTGAGCGGAATATGAAATCCAGACCCAGTTAAGACTAAACAAGCACGGCCTCGGGCAGACATGACCTGGCTGACTAACAGTACAAATCCCACATATGAAATATTGATACAACTCCTTCTTTCCAAGCCTTGCCTTGCTGTACTGTATTTACAGATACTTAGCTCCATTTACATAACAAATCCTTCAGAGAACCTTTTTTTTTCCCCATGACAAATGCATTATTAATGGCAATTTTTTCTCGAGCACATTCTATTTAGACTGCTTGATCGTTATAAAGACGAAAAACACTTATCAGAGCTAATTAGTACAAGGAATTCCATTTTGTTCTGTTGAAAACGCCATGGGACTGTGAGGCTTAGCTAGCGTCTCCGAGGCATAGAGAGATAATTATAGGCTGGCTTCAAACATAAAAATCTAGTCAGCGATCTCTTGGAATCTTGCCGGAGAATGATTGCAAGGATGTCTTTATAACGGAGCACACTGCCTGCCCACGAACCCCGCAGATATTCACTGCTGTGACCTTGACCGAGTATTGACTTACCAAAATAAGTTTTGCAGGAAGGAGATGGAAGTGCTGCTCGTATCCAAAATGGCACAGGTCCTCTTGGATGAGGGGTTCAAGCTCTCGCCTGCAAAAACAAGGACAGGCTTAAAAAACAAAACAAAACAAACGGCAGCATCATTTTCCTGGGAAACCGAACATCACCGTCAACTAACACGTCTGCACAAATCTCGAGCGGCGTCTTGCTTTTTCAGGCTCTTGTGCGCCAGCTGTAAATAGCCCATTCTGGCATCCCTCACATGACCTGTGACCTGTGAGCACTTTGCAGTTGAAAGAACCAGCTGACAATACTGAGATGGTACAGCTCATAGGCAACCAGGTGCGTCTGGCGGGGGGGGGAGGGTGTAATGAAAGGAGAAAATGAGCAAAACACAGTCACTTACCCCCTTCCTAACATGAAAAAATGCCAAAATGCAACATGGAACTCCTACCAGATCCACAGCCATGACAGTGACCCCGGTATCACAGCTTTGCACGGGCATGAACCTCAGTAACCACATGTGGATTCACTTAAAAAAATCCCTGCAGTGCCCCAGGAATCTCTCAGCAGGAATGGGCTGCAATGCTGCTGGTCTTGATCAAATAAGAAGTGTACACCTACGGCTACCTTGCTCACTCATACAGTATGTAGTCTACCACGTGAGTCTGTGCCAGGGCTACAGTATAAGTGACTGCAGGATAACTGGGTTCCAAACATGGGCATAATTCTCAATGTAATTCTCTCCATCAATATACAGTTGAAGCACATTAAGGGGAGCTATACATATATGTATACAGTGTTTTTTTTACATCCATATTAAACCATTTCCTTCATTCACAATGTCCTTCCTCATAAACACTAGGGAGTTACACAGACCGCTTGAAGTATCATTTACAGCCCCAAAGCCTTGTTCATCAAAACATATAACCGCAGCCCTCAGCACACAAGGGGCAATAGGAATTTCAGGGAAAAAAAAAACACCTACAGTATATCTTCTAGGCTTTAGACCAGACCACTGCTGGCTTTCAACCAGCAAGTATGTGCACAGGGAAGGGAGTTTCCAAAAAAAGGCACTGATTCCTTTCAACAGATTAAACATATTTCCAAAGACAGTGAGTCAAGCGGTCGCCCTCACCAATAAATTAATAAGCAAGGCACTGGCTGCCATTAGTCATCAGGTTAACAACTGCTCGTGCCTGAGGAATAATAACTGTTTCAGAGAAGCACTGAAAGCTCTTACAGCTGGTACACAGCAGCGAGACACTGACAGGTGACTTTCACAATACGAACAATACGACACAGCAGTGTTCCGAAAGGTGTCTCGCTCAATAGTATTTTTTATCACGTTCATTTTTAGCTGTACTTGGATACCAAGTTTGAGAACAGTATCAGGTGAGATTTTTCCCTCTTAAAAAGGTACCCATTAGGTACCTAATGGGTACGTAAGCTACATCTTAGCATGTAAGCTTCATCAACAGGCTTTGTACAGTGCAGAGTTCACAGAAGTTTCAAGAAAATCGGAAAAAAAAACAGATACAATTGACAAGAAAACAGAAAAAAAATATTATAACAATTTTTTGGAAGGATAGTAACTGTAGCAGAGTGAGTTAATCCAAGTAACATGATTACTCTTGGACTAATCAAACACTCATTTAGGATTTTTCAAAACCCGACTACATAAATTTAGAAGTTGTTGGAGGAAGAAACACTTCTTCACTAGCTGAATTAATTTATTAGCTGTAAACAGCTCTGCAGTTTTAGGAAGCCTCAGGAGATTAAAATACAGCCAACAAGCCAAATTCATTTCCCATTTCCTCTTTCTCTCTGTAAGGGAAGCGGCTGTTTTTTAGTTCTGGGAGAGACGGAGAACCAGCTCCACTCCGTGTAGGCCCAGCTCCCATAAAAAGAGCAGCGAGCGGCCTGCGTGTGCACACAGCCTGGGAACACTGCAGCGCTGACAGGAGAAATTAACGCTGTCCTCGCAGGAACCGGAGACACTGACATTTGGGGCAAAGCCGATTAATAAAACTGCAAAGGAACAAGTAGAAGGTTTATTCCTCGCTGAAAGGAGAAGAAAGGAAACACAGACTTCTAATGCGCTCTATTCATTTGCAGGTTTCGACTTCACACCTCTCTGCACCTCTCCTGAGTGCCCACTCTGCCTCCTCCACACTCCCGACTTTTGTTCTCCTGTGCTATATAATGTCTGCCGACTTCCCTGTCTTTCTCACACCTGAAACATTGTGTTTCCTTTCTTCTCTTTTCAGCATGGAATAAACCTTTACTTGTTCCTTTGCACCCTATGCATGCTGATGCAGCTCCCCACCTGAACTACTTCGACTGCGGTCTTATTAATCTGAAGAGCAGCAGGACCTCGCCAGACAGAACAGAACTTCCCCTCCCTCTCTCCCCCCTACAGCTAGGAATGATTCTAGTCTCGAGAACTGTACTACAGCTCTAGCCCAAGACACCAGCTAATACCTGTATTGATTCATTACTAGAGCTACTGAGGAATCCCAAACCGCATCTTCTTAATGCTCCAACCGATCCAGCAGTCCTGCACAGTATTGCTTTTCCTTATGGCAATGCACATTCTGGAACCACAGGGCCGCAGGCATTATTACAGCTAAAGAGTTAGCAGGAATAAGGGCTACAATTGGACCACTCAAGAATGTCATTACTGAAGGTAAAGGCATACACGTAACAGGTTGAATAGCATTAAAACAGAAGATGCTGCAGATGCACCACAGAGGAACAGTTTTGATCTGTGGAAAATGAAAAGGTTGTCTTCATCTGGAGTGTTGTACCAGACTACTATAGTGCAAATGCTAAAATGGCAGTGAGCCATGACCAAACCCTGGATGGTGAGACACAGGGACGTAAACCTTTGATTACGTACACTTAAACTTTATCAGTTTATTTGGCTGATTCATGTTAGAAATACAACACTACTGATCATTGCCTTAGTAAAGGTAAGTCGGAACTGGGCACGTCTCTCATATACAGTAGCTCTGAATACAAAGAACTCCTTCTAAAAATTAATCAAAAGCACATCCTCCCTGAATGCACCCATATGGCATGCTGTATGATCAGATAATCATCACTTTGATAAAAGTTATGGAGAGCAACATAAATGCAGAGCCCTGTGGGAACAGATAAACTCAGGTACCTAGTAGTGTGTGCAGTCCTAGAGATAATTCACTACATGCAAAGTAAAGCTGATTTCAGATCAGATCAGTGTGTATGCATAGTTGATAGCTGGCAGTGAAAACCCTTATTTCAATAAAGAGGTCTTCAGAACCCACATGTGCTGTAGTCTCTGTGCAGGAACTTCTAAAACAATGACTGAAATGGGAGGTCGCAGCAGTGGAAGGAAGGGGTAAGCTTTAGCACAGCTGTGTGGTCAGAAGGGCTAAATCTCGAGGTGGCACCAGAAGGTGTTCAGGAACCGTGCAGTTCTGCACTCCGGAGGCACAGACAGGCAAGGCTGAACCTTAGGAGATGGAATGGCCAGTCAGCCAGCAGCCACAACGAGCAGGGAGAGGGAGTGTGCACGAGGATAAAGAAGGGATTTATGGTAGGAGGGAGGAGAATTGCTCAGAGCGTTTGGGGGAGGGCAGGAACGAGAGACAGACAAGGTGAATCGCACGAGCTTTGGGTGAGCTGGACTGCAGGTTCTTCAAAAAAAATCTGTTGCATCCCTTTAACGTTCTTAAAACGTTCTCAAATTGAAGACATGCATTCAATTGTTAAATGGAATTGCAACAACAATGGAAATAATGATGCAGAAAGGAGCTGTTTGCTTTGTTCTTCTCTACAACAACAAAAAAAACAGCAAAACGTATCTTTCCACACAGTGACCAAGGCATACAGTGGTCACAGATGTGTATTTCAATCAGCAGTAAACACAGACTCCAGGGCAGGGCTGCAGAGGATGTGGCAGTGTGTTCCTGTGTTGCCACTCCCTTCCCCTAAGGGATTATGGGATTGCAAAACACAGTGGGCTCTAAGGCTTCCCGTCACTGGCCTGATTCAGCAGCCCCCACGCTTCCATTGCGTGCCATGTCAGGCTTACTGCACTGCTACCGTGAAGCACTACTAAGGGGAGCCTCCGTCTTCAGCTACTGTGTGGGCAGATCTGGATTTCTCTAGAGTAAAAATCAATTAACACCACGGTGATTTTATTTGACTGCCAGATAAATACAGATCCGCTACAAATGAGAGTTTCTGCAAGGACAGGTTCAATTGGGCAGCTTTATCATGTCCCTTGGAAGCAGAGCATGAGCTGGTCTTGTGAGGTCTCCGCTGTGTGTTTTTTATTCACACAAGAAAAGAAAGCAAAAGAGTTCAGCTTCTACATTTCCCCCACAATCATCCCTGACCTTGTCCCTCACGCCATGCCAGTCCTGCTGGAGTCACTTCCCTCCAAAAACACCGGCTTCCTGTCACAACCACCTCTCTGACCCCAGTGACATTCTGAAAGGGGAAACAAGAGGAGAGAACATAGAACCTGTGCCATCTTAACACCCAACCCTTAAGTTGGCCGAGGTCCTGCAAGGTTCTTGCTTAACCCTTACACCTTCCGTTTCGGGAGAAGGCAGGGCAAAGTTTATTTTGCTTAGCTCACTCAATAAACAGGAGTATCAGCAGGACTTTAGGCCAGAGACAAAACTGCATGCACCACATTCTAAACCGTGTTTTTATTTCATCCTCAGTTGTCACCTTCTGACACTGTAGTGTATGAGTTGTTATCAGGGACTACGGTGTGCTGTGTAAAGATCTATAATGGTCTACATTGCTTTCTTTTCTTTGGCTCAGAGGAAAGAAATGGAAATGTAGCAGCAACTACAATACATCTTATTCTAAATGCCTGTGGTTTGCAACTACTTCCACCTGACACTGCCTTGCGTTTCTGCTCCTGTCTATTCTGTGCTGAAGTGACCACATTAAAGCACCAGCCCAGCACTGCTGCAAAGGGTGCTTTAGGTACAGGGTACAGGTGACATGGTGGTCCAGTGGTGATCAATTCCAAACCTGTGCCCAATGCTTGCCAAAACAGGCTCTGGCTCCCCCACGATCCTGAACTG